ATACGTACAGTAAAAAATACAAAATATTTTTACACTCTTTTAAGTCTGAAAGTGCGTAAAGATTCAGAAGACTACAACCAGTTTCGTTTGTACTGTCAATATGATGATAGATTCAGGTAAATGTTTTACCGTTCTTGTTTGTTTGTTCTTGATAAAGCATATCATTAGCTCCTTGTAATGTTAATTTCCGCATAAAGTTCTGTTAATTGTTATCAATCTGAACCCGAACTTTTGTTCTCCGATAATGATCGAAAAGTAGATAATATTTCAGCTTTGGAGACTTCACTCGTTAGAAAGGACTGTACTTCTATTGGGCATATGTATGGTAGTATATCCTTTAATTCCTCCAGATGAACAGATTCTAAGGATTCCATACTACTCCCATATAACCCTGTGAAGTATTGTACTACATGTGATTTAATGTCATCACTAGAGGTAAGTCGTTCTCCATCATCATTAATAAGGTAATGTATCTGATTTTTTGCTACTCTTCCCTTTATTGCTCTGTGGAAGAAACCAAAATTTTTGTCACCAAGCTTCAGCCACTAAATTCTTGATTTTTGCCTAAGAAATCTTTCCTCTACATCAATCACAATGTTCTAATCTTTCCATCACAGTTGGTGTCCGTAATAGCTCATCCTAGATTTCCAAAAACATGGCATCCAACTCTTTAACCTTTCTGGTTACGCCACTAAAATACCCCTGATTTATCAGACATAACAATTTTTTCAAGACCTTCGAGGATTTTTTGAGTCTTGCTTGACTAGTGCCTAATGTCGACTGATATATCCAATTTGCCTGCATTGTCTCAATAAAACTCATGTGAAGGGAGACATGTGTAAAGAATTTGAAAAGTTTGTTGATAACACATATTTCGGGTGATGTTTTGATATAGGATGTCTAGCGTATTTCACTATTTTATATATTTTTAGACATTTTAGGGCACATTTGGCTTCGATATTGGTTGGTTGTGTTCTTTGGTGTTTAAACAGGAATCCACACATAAAGAGAGCAAAAAGAGTGGAAAACATGGAATACGAACATCACGGACGAACCGGGAACACTTGGAGTGTCTCCAGGGAAAACGTGAAGCTCAGAAAATGTCAGATCTTGCAAGTCCAATAACTTTCACTTTACAAGTCCAAATCATACATTCTCTACATCATTGGAAAGCTCTCTTTGATATCTACGCATAGACACCAAGATCACTCAAATCTGATGTCGGAGCAGGAAGTTATGAGCAAATTTGTGAAGCCTGCCAAAACTGTTAAGTGACACGATCGTATCACTTTCAGTCACACGATCGGGTCACTTACCAGATTTTGGAAATATTCCGAATTTTGGCCCAGAAAAAGAAGGGTTAACTAGGGTTAGCCCCCAAAGTCGAAAACATTCAGACTTTTGACAGAAAACACACCCTAGAGTACACAAAAAGGGGGAGATTATCAAGAGGCAAGAGATCGGAGTAGAAGACGAAGATTACGAAGCCGGAAAATCGACTAAGCATTCTTCCTTTCTTCTATTTTATGATGTTTTGTTGTATTGATATGAATCCCGGCGTCTCGATGTTTAGCGAGTAGTCCCATAGCTATAGGTTAGGGATTTGCTATGTAGAGATCTTTGGTTTTTAATTCCAGACTTTTGGATTTGTTTATTCCATTCAGTTTATTGAATTGTTCTTAATGTTTTTGATCTCGTTGGCCACTTGGTTGAATGAATTTAGGGTTTTAATTCACATAGACATATGAGATTATAACCTGGAAATAATTCAATAAATAGAACATGTATCACATCGGGAGATGGGTATTTGCCTAGGAATCATGATAGCGTTCGTTCATTCATCCAGAGTTTTAGACTATTGAATCGGGAGATTGGTAGGATTAAACCTGGATAGTAAGATTAGACTTGGGAGAGTTAATCTCTATCTCAGAGCTTGAATTCCCTGGATTGGATAGATAAACCACTACAAAAAAAAATGCAAAATTCCAACGGATTAATCCGTTAGAATTTTTCCAACGGATTTCCAACGGCATACCGTTGGAATAATTCCAACGCGTTTCTAACGGATTTCCAATGGACGTCTAACGGATTCGTCCGTTAGAAATCCGTGGCATATCAACGGATATTTGAGTTGGAAAATTTCCACGTATATTCCAACGGATTTCCGTTGGAAATAACGTTCGACAAATTTCAACGGGTATTTCAACGGCAACCCGTTGAAATTATCCGAACGTTATGAAACGCGGCAATAATTCCAACGGATACCCATTGGAAAGTGTAACGGTAACGAAATTTTCAACGGATTTCCAACGGACATCCGTTGGAAAGTTTGTCTATTTAAAGCATCCGGTCATATTTTGCCCAAACCACTCTCTAAATCATTCTTATACTATTCTTACACCAAAAATTCTCCTAAAAATGACATCTTCAACAAATCCGAATATTCGTTCGTCCCGGCAGTGGATATACGAAAGAGTTGATTCGATTACAAAAGAGGTAACGCAAGAATTCATTAACGGTTTGGAACAGTTTATGAATTTTGCTTCTATGCAGCCGTTGTGTCAAGAACGTGGAAAAAAGCTATGTCCATGTACAAGTTGTCGCAATTTTAAATATCGCAGTCCAGAAGATGTTTGTAAACATCTATTTCGAAGGGGATTTGTCGAAGATTATTATATTTGGCGATTTCATGGAGAAGAAGTTCGGACAATCACAACGGGACAACATGTCTCGGCCGAGCAGAGGTATGATGTAGATGAAGATGTAAGAAATCCTTATGTTGAAATGGTGACAAATGCTTTTCCTGGGGCATTGGCTGGGCAAAACTCATCACAAGATCAGGAGGAGCCAAACGTCGAAACAAAACGGTTTTTCGACATGTTGGATATGGCAAATCATCCTATCTATGAAGGATATAAAGAAGGTCAGTCACGTTTATCTCTTGCATCAAGATTGATGAGTATGAAAACGGATTACAATGTCACCGAAAGTTGCATGGATTCATTTTGTCAAACGTTGCGTGAATATTTACCTGAAAATAACGAAGCTCCAGAATCGTATTATGATACGAAGGCTATGTTGAAGAATTTGGGAATGCCTTATGAAAAGATTGATGTTTGCAAAAATGGTTGCATGCTGTACTGGGGTGAAGAAAAAGAATTGGTTATGTGTAAATTCTGTAGGACTAACAGATATCGTCCGAGTAAGAATGTACGGAGACACTCCGTATAAAAAGATGTTCTATATGCCGGTATCGTACAGATTGAAGCATTTGTATGAATCACAACAAACGGCTTCACATATGAGATGGCATGCCTGCATTCTACCGTTGATGGAGAAATGCAACATCCATCAGATGCTTTGGCGTGGAAAAACTTCAACATGGTATTTCCTCAATTCGCTGCTGAGCCTAGGAATGTGTATCTTTGTTTGTGTACTGATGGATTTAGTCCGTACAGACAGTCTGGCATGCAGTATTCATTATGGCCCGTTATACTTTCTCCGTACAACTTACCACCTGAGATGTGCATGAAAAGAGAATTTATGTTTTTGACATTGTTGATTCCTGGGCCAGAACATCCGAAGAAGAGTTTAGATGTGTATTTACAGCCGCTCATTAAGGAGTTGAAGGATTTGCTGGCCGATAATGTTCACCCGAGGATACACGTTTCACACTTACGATCATGGAAAACATAAATCCACGTTCAATTACGGAGTTTGTATCCGGCGTATGACATGCTATCGGGATGGAGCACACATGGAAGACTTGCATGTCCGTTTTGCATGGAGGAAACAGAAGCGTTTTAGTTGAGACATGGGAGAAAGTCGTGCTGGTTTGACTGTCATCGCATATTTCTTCCAAGGAATCATCCATTCAGACAAAATCGTACGCTTTTTACCAAAGGTAAAATCGTTACTGAGGAAGGTCCTGTTATGTAAACCGGAGAGAAAATTTATTCTTAGTGAATAAATAGTGGATATTTGGATGATTTGGAAGCTTCTGTGTATTGTGGAGGAAATTTTGGGCATAAGAAGTGCAAAGGATTTGGTGATTGGCATAACTGGTATAAGCGTAGTATTTTTTGGAATTTGCCTTACTGGAGTTCGCTAACGCTTCGACACAATCTGGATGTTATGCATATAGAGAAAATGTTTTTTGATAACATCATCAACACCGTTCTGAATGTGTCAGGGAGAAGTAAAGATAACATCAACTCGAGGAAAGACTTGAAAGATATATGCAAGAGAAAAGAGTTGGAGTTGACATGTGATGGTCACGCACCTGTGCCGATATTCAGACTCACAAAACCAGGTAAAACGGTCTTGTTTAAATGGTTAAAAGAAGAGGTTAAATTCCCTGATGGATATGCATCCAAATTGGCGCGATGTGTTGATACTGATTCATTAAAGCTTATGGGAATGAAGAGTCATGATTGCCATGTATTCATGCAAAGACTCATTCCTATTGCATTTGCGGAGCTATTGAAACCCAGTGTCCACGGAGCGTTATGCGGTATCAGCACATTCTTTCGAGATATATGTGCAAGATCTCTGAGAAGAAGTAACCTGGAGGTTTTGAAAGGAAACATTCCTGAGATACTTTGCGTATTGGAAAAGGTATTTCCACCTTCATTTTTTGATGTGATGGAACATTTATCTATTCATTTACCAGATGAGGCAATATGCGGTGGTCCAGTACAGTTTAGATGGATGTATCCATTTGAGCGATTTTTTTCCCATCTGAAGAAGAAGGCTAAAAACAAAGCAGCAGTGGAAGGATCTATCGTCAAACAGTATTTGTTAGAGGAGATCTCCTACTTCAGTTCTTTCTATTTTGAATCTCATATTCAGACGAAGACAAGGAGGGCTATCAACGAAGACGATAGAAGTTATCTCTACCACTATGATTCATGTTTCGGACTTATTCCCGAAAGTTTTCAGCCTATTGGACGTCTCATAGGCAAATCTGAAGAATATTGGTTAACTGTACAAGAGTACAATTACATCGCCACATATATACTGTTGAATTGTGAAGAACTTCAGCCATACGAAAGGTACACATTTTTTAATCTTAGATGTGATTAGAAATTAATTAATTACATATTTGCTAACAACATGTTTTTAAGACTTTTTGACGAGGATGTTTTGGCAACATATCCTAATCTATGTGGGGAGGAACTTGAAGGAATGAAGGAACAACATTATGCATCTTGGCTTCGAGACTACGTAAGTATTCTAGCTATATATATATGTACGTGTATGTATTTGTGTATTAATTTAATTTTTATGCGCAGATTCAGTCATGCAGTGATAGAATTCCGGCATGGATCATAGATATATCACATGGACCTGGAAGAAAAGTCATTTGTTGGCCGATAATGTTCACCCAAGAATACACGTTTCACACTTACGATCATGGAAAACATAAATCCACGTCCAATTACGGAGTTTGTATAAAAAGCGGGTCATCGGAAGATCCTGATTTCTTGGGGGTTCTTCGACAGATTTTCCAACTCCAGTATCCAGGATTAGTCGGGCTGAAAACAATCATATTCAGATGTGATTGGTTTGATACAACGTCGGGACGCGGCTCACGGAAATATCGATGGGGAGGTATTGACATAAACCCGAAACGTTCATATGCAAAGTACGATCCTTTTATACTTTCAGATCAGGCAGACCAGGTATGCTTCATTCCATATCCGAAACATTCTGCGACATCGGTGAAACGGCGACGGGAAGATCAATGGTCAGCTGTTTTGAAGATTAACCCACGAAGATTAATCGTGGATTCGTCGTCGACAACACAAGATCTCGATGAGCCAATGCAAGAGCAGCTCGAAGATCCGGTTCTTCCCATCCGACTAGATGATGATTACGACGAGACACTTGCACTTCCTGACATAGACGACGAGTTACTTGATGATTCGTTACACGTACAAGATGATATAGACGAATTCGTTTCGGACCATGATACAACTCCGGATGATGAAAGTGATAAGATTCTATGTAGACTTTTTTTTTATTGTTTTCATATGTATTTGTATTTTGAAAAATCTATCATATTTATTTGTATTTTTGAGATTTTTAAATTTTTTTTAAAAAAAAATGTTAAATTCCAACGGGCATCCGTTGGAATCGAATCGCAGAATTCGAATCGACACCAGAATTACAACGGATATCCTTTGAAAATTTCTAACAGACTCCCGTTGTAATGGTTGAAACATTGAATCCGTATTGATAAATTCCAACGGATGCCCGTTAGAATCGCCATTTCCAACGGGCATCCGTTGGAAATTTTGAAGCATTAAATCTGTTCGACGCACCTGGCGTCCATCGCGTCATTCCAGAATATTTTCAACAGATGCCCATTGGAAATGACGATTCTAACGGGCATCCGTTGGAATTTATCAGACAACATTAAATGCACCCAGAGATTTCCAACGAATACCCGTTGGATATCCGTTGGAATTTTCGATTATATAAGGGCGAGCGCCCCATTCTTCCTCATCACCCATTTCTCAAATCAACAAAAAAAAACTGAGCAAAAAAAAACACTCGACAAAAAAAAATGCAAAATGGTAATATGTTTTCAATTCTTTAATATTTATTTATATTTTATTTTGTATTAATAACTAACTATTGTTTTTTTTCCAGTTTCGTAGGCGATTTTCTGGTTCCGGAGGATTGTTGGTGGGTTCTTCTGGAGCACCGCCACCGCCGCCACCACCACCTTCTCGTCTTCCGGAACCGGTGGACGCACCCCCACTTTTCCCAGAGATTGATATAACTCTGGAGGAGGTAGAGAAAATTTTAAATTCCTTCGACACTCGCGAGGTCCCGCTAATCGATCCCGAACTTGACGGGGCGTTATGGTAATTTTTAAATTAAATTATTTCAATACTTATTTTAAATTATATTATTAGTTAATATTAATAAATTGTTATTATTAGGTTCGGGGTTAACGATAAAGATTTGAGGAAAAAATTTACAGCAATAATAACGTCAAATTTTCCTCAACTCTACTACTGTTGGACGGTGGTACCGGACTATATCAAACGTTATTGGTGGCACTCGTTCATCGTAAGTTATTTTTTAAAAAATTCATTTAAATAAAATAATTTATCACTAACTCTAATTTTTTTTATAAAGCAATCTTTTCGGTGGAAAAAAAGATATTGATAAAGTTTACAAAGAGTTCAACCAGCTCGGCATGCAGCGGTTGAAACAAATGATGAACAATGTCAAACGCCGTCATCAGCTGTATGGACTGTCACCGGAGTGGGTAACAAATGACTTGTACCAACAGCTTATTGTGCATTGGAACTCAGACCATTTCAAGAACTAGAGTTCCAAGGCGAAACAAAGTCGTCTGTCCCAAAAAATCGAGGGTGATGGGCCTCATCATCATACCTCCGGTGCTAAATCATTCAAGAAGAGGTAAAAAGAGGGTATTTATTTAAACTTTAATTTAATTTTTAATTTGTTTTTTAATTGTAGATTTTTTATTCTGTTAATAATATATATATATATATATATATATAGGAGAAAGAAATGGGGAGAACTCCATCAATTGTAGAGTTGGTCGCTCGGACATACAAAAAGTCCGATGGGACTCAAAGACTTACCCAACTCTTCATTTTTCAGTCAGGCATCTATGTCGATCCCCGTGCAGAACGAGTTGTAAGCACGGTAACTCAAAGACTTACCCAACTCTCGCAAAATGTTGGCGATTCAGCGGGTTCTTCATCCGATCTCTCTGCATCGGACCAAGATCGTTGCTATGTGGAGATAAAAGTTATAATAATTTATTTTTAAATATTATATTTTAATACTTTATTTCAATTTTAAATATTTTCTTCATTTTTCAGTCGGTCTCTCCAAATAAGGGCCGCATCTATGGATTAGGAGGATTGCAGCGAGATTTGTTCGATGATTTCGGTGCAGCAATTCCTCCTGGCATGCAGAGCGATCTCGAACAACAACGGCGGATCGAGACACTCGAGCAACAGCTTGCGGCGACGAGGCAACAA